CTCTCTCTCTCTCTCTCTCTCTCTCTCTCTCTCTCTCTCTCTCTCTCTCTCTCTCTCTCTCTCTCCCCCTCTCTTCCTTCCTGTTTTAAAATTTTTATTATAGAACGTTTCAAACACAATAGTAGAGAGAATAGGATAATGAACTTCCATGTACCCATCATCCAGCTACAATTTTTATTTTGTCACTGGTGTTTGTGACAAACACTATTCCCCTATTTTATTAACACTGTTTATTTTGCTAGAGCATTTTAAAGTAAATTTCCTCTTTTTAAAGGCCACCAAACCTATTGGATTAGGGCACTACCCTTATGACTTCATTTAACCTTAATTACCCCTTAAAGGCCCTATTTCCAAACACAGTCACATCACATTGGGGGTTAGGGTTTCAACACGACTACACATATTTATATGTTGTGACTAAATAGACACAATTTAGTCTATAGCAGCCACCTTAGACCCAGAGATGGAAGCCACATCAAAGAGGCCCCATCTCCTTGTCTGCCTACCTCATGTTATCCAAACTACTATATTTTGGTTCGCTTTGTTACAGCAACTTAATCTACTCTCTAACTGACTCATACATGTATATATTTACAAAAGTTCCCAATGAACAAGAAGAAAACTATAAAACAATGGCTTCTACATGGTTACTGTTGCTTGCTACAAGAGTGGGAGAGGTGAATAAGCTGACGTATGAATATTGAGAGGAAAAGTTATCCAGCAGCATTTCAAGTTTTACAATCACACCTAACATTCAGGTGACTACAGGAAACATTTTTTTCCCATTTTGTAAGCAAAGGCCTAAAACAGCAAGAATATTTACAGCAGGACTCTTACTCATAATGAAACATCACACCAGTTCTAGCCCTCCATACATACCAGTTTTCCTTCTTTCCCTCCCTCCCTCCCTCCTTCTGCAGTGGGGATGCCGCGTCCCGGGCCAGGCCAGGGAGTAAGGTGCAAGTACAGGGCAGTGCTGCTGGAACACCTTTCCAAGATTTTATTTTTAGTCTCCTCTCTGTAATAGGAGGTCGGAGCAGGTTTTTCCTTTTGAGAGGGAGGAATTTCCACAGTGACCTTGGAAGGTGTTCTCACCCTTCCTACTGGTAAAATGGCCTCAGGGGCCCCCATCGGTTCAAGATAGGGACCTTGACTGTATCGTGATGAGGACAGAGGCAGCCAGGCAGCAGAAAGTAACCTTTGCCCTCCTCTGCAGCAGGTTGGCGCTCCGGCTCCAGGAGGCACGGAAAGTGGGCACTCTGGAGGACCCGGTGCCGACAGTCCTGGGGCACATACAGAGCATGGGAAGCGGGGTACATGGACAGAGCGTGGGAAGCGGGGTCCACGGACAGAGTGTGGGAAGTGGGGTACACGGACGGGCAGATCCTGGGAAGCCTGCGTTCGTCCTTCACTGTGGTCACATGGTCCAGTGATGGGAAGAAACCAGGTTGCCCCAGGTCTTTGGCGGTCATGTAGGGTCTTTCGAAGGTGGGGTATCCATCCTCTAGCTTGGGATTGGGGCTGGGGATGGGCCTACGAAACTCTTTTTCCCAGAGTTGGTTCTCTATCTTCACTTGCTGTGGGAACAAATCACACATGAATGGAGGACTGAGAGAGATGAAAAGCAATGCAGCTTCCTTGGAAGTATCCCAAACAGACCACACTCTTCTTTATTTTGAAAAATTGTAAATCAGTTTTTGAATGATAGTATACACAATAGAGGGAAATACTGAAATAATACAAAAGGGTTAATAGTAAAAAATGTCTTTCCCACTCTCCTCCTTCCTTGGTTCTCAAGTCCGGAGGCAACTATTATCATTAAAGATTTTTGTATCTTTTTAGCAACTATATATATATATATATATATATATATATATATATATATATATATATATATATATATATAGAGAGAGAGAGAGAGAGAGAGAGAGAGAGAGAGAGNCTTGCTACCTGTTGGCAGCTCAGCGGCTGCTCAGCTCGGGCTGGACTCGAACCACTGTTGCTCAGAGCTCAAACTCTTGAGCGAGCTCTTAACCAACTGGGCCACTCAGCCGGCCCTTTCATCCTCCCTCTTGAGTGAATCTTTTCCTGGACTCCCTGTCTCTGTCCTCTCCTGCTCCAAAGGACCCAGGTTACAGTAGCCTTCTTGCTCTGTTCAGTCCTGTAGCATGTCTTGATGATCTATTTTGTATCTTAAGCACAGCCAGTCATACTCCTTGTAAGTCTGTGATGAAGGCTGTTTCCTCCTGAACACCTCATATTAAGAATGCTGTTGTTGGGGCCGGCCGAGTGGCTCAGTTGGTTAAGAGCTCGCTCAAGAGTGTGAGCTCTTAGCAACAGCGGTTCGATGCCCAGCCCGAGCTGAGCTGCTGCTGAGCTGCCAACAGGTAGCAGGATGGCTCAGCTAAAAAAAAAAAATTCTGTTGTTCACACCAATGAATGGTTAATCAATGAAACTTGGTCATTAAAAAGCAAGACAACTATTGTATTAAAGGACTTCCCATCATTTATTTAGAATAAAAATGACATACGAGGTCTGACAATTAAGTTCGAGAACTTGTTGCAACAATGTTGCTAACCTTTTTTGATATCAGAGGGATTATTCATTATGTGTTTGTACCAAGTGGACAGTTAACCAAGTTTACTATTTAGAAGTGCTGAAAAGCAGCATGAAAAAGTTAGACGACCTGAACTTTTCACCAATAATTCATCACAACAATCCACCAGCTCACATGGCACTGTCTGTGAGAGTTTTTAGCCAGTAAATAAATAACTGTATTGGAACACCCTCCTTACTCACCTGATCTGGCCCTGAGTGACTTCTTTCTTTAACTGAAGATAAAGGAAATACTGAAAGGAGGACATTTTGATGACATTCAGGACATCAAGGGTAATACGATGACAGCTCTGATGGCCATTCCAGAAAAAGAGTTCCAAAATTGCTTTAAAGGTGGACTAGGTCCTGGCATCAGTGCATAGCTTCCCAAGGGGTACTTCAAAGGTGACAATAGTGACATTCAGCAATGAGGTATGTGGCACTTTTTCTAGGATGAGTTCTTGAACTTAATTGTCTGACCTCATACAACATTCCAAAAGTGACTGAAACTTTGGGGTTGGAATCAGATAAAACTAGGATTAAAATTCTGGCTTTGCCATGTGTGACCTTGGGCTGGGCACTTAAGCTCCCTGAACTTCTGTTTCTTTATCTGTGTGTGAGGATGAACTAATGATTGTGATGTATGCAACACAGAGCCTTGTATATAATACGTGATCAATAAAGAGTAGTTATTGTTGTTAATGTTTTCACCTCAACTGAATCATTTTGTGGAAATAACTGTGTTAAAACTGTCAACTGATCTACATGACCCAACACTGAAAAAGTATTCTTTATTGAGAGGAAGTGAACTTTTGTTCACAGGCATTTTCTTTTATAGACACCCTAGAAGGAATTATGGATAGAACAGATTCACTAAAGATTGTAACATGTAAGGGTGACGGGAATACATTGACATACACTTACAACTGATGAAGAGACAAAGATCATTTGCAAAATTATTCAACCTCGCCAGGGATCAAAAAGACTATACTACAAAACTAACAGACTTTTCTTTCTCTTTCTCTCTCCTTCCCTTCCTTTTCTTTTCTTTTCTTTCATTTTCTTTTCCTTCCTTCCTTCCTTCCTTCCTTCCTTCCTTCCTTCCTTCCTTCCTTCCTTCCTTCTTCTTTTTTCTTTCTTTTTCTTAATGAGCATAGCAAGGATGACAAGGATATTATGAATTAGGGACACTTATAAATGGCTAGTAGTAGTCTAAAGAGGTACATCTTTCTTTTTCCCTCCTTTCCTTTCCTTTCTTTTCCTTTCCTTTCCTTTCCTTTCCTTTCCTTTCCTTTCCTTTCCTTTCCTTTATTTCTCCCCCCTGCCTCTCTCTCTCTCACT